TAGTCCCAGAGCGGACGAGATGGGTTCGCTTGGTCACAGAAGCGATGGTAGGTGACAGAGCCGCAAGACTGGAGCGGTCCGCGAGACACAACACAAATTTTAGCGGGAACGACTTCAGGCTTAATCCAGACGAAGACGACACAGATTAATCACCATAGAATTTTTAGGAAAACTGCATTTTGACCTTGATATTCAGGGTTTTTATAGTATTTCTTCTTTGAATCTCACCTTACAATTTTTCCTGCGTCCCATTCCTCGCTTCCCGATTGTTTTCTTTTTTGTCTCCAGGTGAAAACCGAAACCAGATCAGGTCACGAGAAAGGTTTGTTCCGAGGTGTTTATTTGACACCTGTTCGTCGACTCTGATCGGAGATTGTTGATAAACCTACAAGCCTTTCGCTCATAATTTAGCGTATTGTTTCTGCTATCTGTCATTTTAGAACTTTAACGATCGTATGTGATGTTTTTTTATACCCGTCAAATCTTTCCTTTTTTCCGAAAATTTAACGTAGATCGACTGTTTATGAGTACGTTTTCCTATATTTACATTAAAGAAAACCCATTTTACAAATAAAATTACAAAAATACTGACAGCTAGAACGGATTAATTGTATTTGCATTAATTTTTATGGGAAAAATTGCTTCCGTTAACGAACAATTCGGTTAACGAACGGACTCGTGGAACGGATTACGTTCGTTAACCGGGGTTCCACTGTACTGGACATTGCTCCGCTATATGTGAATTTAGTAATTTCCTTGTTTGTATTCTCTTTTGCCTTCATTCTATTAGGTACCGAGTAGGATCTTATTAACTTTTTGATTTCAGTTTTAAATTCTAAGGATCCAGCAATGGTTCTGATCCTACCTAACTCTTGCCACCTGTTGTAAATGTTAGAGCAGTAACTAAATGCCCTTCTAATAAGAGTTCTAAATGCCGAAAGTTTGTAAGTAGGCAGATCATTCGATGAGGAAGGAATATATAATGGGTAACGACAGGTGTCAAGATCTTTTGTATATTTGTATGTAAACGAATTGTTCAGAACAGATGTAGAAATTTGAATTTTGTTTTGCATAATGTTTGAACTGGAACTGTTACAAGAAAACATTCCAAATACTTCAAAAATTTCAAAAATACCTGAAGATGACCTGTGGAGCAGGTAGAAAATGTTAGTAAGATAATAAATATTAATTCTTGGTTACATAAGGTGCTTGTGTCAGTATATTTAAGAAGTCTGAGTGTTTATTGAATTACTGTAGTAATTTGAATTTGGCTCCTTGGTATTGTTGAATTGTCTAAAAAATATAAGTACATTATTTAAATATTCATCAATACATTGTCTGTCATATTAGGCTGAAGAAGAGAGTGAATTGATGTCTCTCCTAAAATAGTATAAAATTGTAGAAATTTATTTTTGTTAATAAATTAATTACTAACACTACAATTTAAAAATCTTATCATTGGTGTATGAAAAATCTTAAATATTTAAGCAAGAAGGTGAGCTTACAGAATAATGAAATTTTACAATATATTTCTTATAATGTCATATTTTTAAAATAAAGATATGAAAAAATTTAAAACTTGTACATATTGCATGATTTAAATAAAAGAAAATTATAAAATAAAACTAATTTGATTATTTCATCACAATTAATCATATATTGTAACTCAGGATAAAAAAAATATTTTAGTAAACATGCAAGACAATCAAGTTTTTTTAAACTGATTTATCATATTGCATAAAATGCAACATTACAATTCTTTTCATATTTTACTTTGTTATACTCTAAATATAAAGATAAATATATTTTTTAATCTAGCTAATTTAAACAAACATCGCTAAACACGATATATAATATAGTTAAATACCAACCGAATGCCAAAAATCTATCGGGCTAGTTTAAGGCTGGTTTAAACTAGCCCGATAGATTTTTGGCATTCGGTTGGTATTTAGCTATAGCTAATTTAACCTACTGAATTCTACTCAATGAAATTTATTCAGCAAATGACTGATAATTTATTCAAAAAATTAATAAATATAAACACAAATGACTTCAATCATGTAATTATAAAAATATAATAAAAAATATAATTAAATATTTTCTTACTTCAGTCTTTTTATCAGGAACTTGTATCGACTCAAGAGCTGGTTCATTAACTAAACCAAATGGCCTCTTAGGAAATTCATTGGAAGGAGCTTTATCAGGCATGTGCATTTTATGTTTGCGAAGTTCCTCAACAGATGTCTTTAGTGCATCAATTGCTGCATCATCATGATAACCAAAATCATGTTCAAGCCTAACTTGAAGAAAATCCACCAACTCTTCCATTCCCATTTTCATCATTGTTTCTAACAAGTAAATAATTATAAATATTTCTCAGAAACATTAAGCTGGTTTTCCAAAATTATTTAAAAAAAAATATACTTACTACGATGTAATTTTAAAAGAGTATATGACATAGCTGTCAATATGATTTCTCCTTCCAGTAAGTAAATATCCCACAATCTCAGAGTTAAAGTAAAAGGTACCTGAACAAAATAAAATTCTTTTTAGGTAAATTTGTGCAAAATTTTTCATAATACTGTATATTCAAAAATTTATCTTACCCTATCTAAAAAACATTGAAAAAACCATTTTAATGTATATAAACTAGTATGAATTTCATATTTATCTAAATGTTTTTTTAATTTTGGCAAAAATTTCTGTAATATTCTATCATGATGTTCCTGAAATCTTCGTAATTTTGGGAAACCAGGAATAAAGAATCCTAAAAAAAAATAATAATTTAAATATATTTTAGTAATAATAATAATAATAATAAATAAATAAATAGTTTGACAACAACATGTTTTAATAAATTTTGATGTTTTGCAATCTTAAAAAATTGCTTTTTATGAAGCATCTTCAGTGTGTTATATGTAATATATTATTTGGGTGGTTCAGATTACAGTTTTTCCATTGATTAATATTTATGAAATAAGGCTGTGTACACACTAGGTGTTTTTAAACGCATGTTTTAATAAACGTGCGTTAGCTCGGCGTTCGACGAGCGTTTTTGGAGCGTACGCATTGGCTCAGTTTGGAAATGGATGTGAAAGTAATTGCTTGTGTGCCCCTCCTACAACGTCACTATAAAAGACGATGGCAGAGGCAAAGAGAATTTTGGGTGCACCCAATATTATGAGATAGACTGACACATGGAATGTTTGCGACGTTGTATCCAAAACTAAGACAAAATGAACCGAAGTTTTTTAATTCTTTTAAAATATCTATAAAATCCTTTGACGATGGTTGGTCTCTTTTAGATTTCATCAATAAATAGATCAGTATCGAAATGATCGTTTTCCATTTCAGCACATATATCTCAAAGCACTTGGCTGACGCCCACAAAACGCGCGATCGAATGTACAGTAACATAGCAGCACATATATCTCAAAGCGCCCATAAAGCACCCGCAAAACGCGCATTTTAACAAAAATCTATAAGCGCGCGTTTGAGTGTGTACACCTATATAGAACTCTTGGTTCTTTAAAACGCGCGTTTAAAAATGCCTAGCGTGTACACAGCCTAAGAGTTGTGCATATTGCTATCTCTATTTTCATTTCACTTTAAAATCTTCTTATTAAAAAATGCAAACATTAATTCCTAAAGTTAAATTTTCAAATTTTTTTTATAGTTTTTAGAGGGGTAGTAAAAATATTCATTAGTTTTTTACAACTTTTTCATGAGTGACATTGCGAGATTATCAAGGGAAAGTCATGTGACTATAGAAATCTCAACTGATGTGATGTGAAAAATAATGGTATCAACTAGTTTTCACTGGGCTTTACATTTAAGAATTATAATACAGTACATGCTTTTTCAAATTTTTAAAATTGAATTCTCTTTAAAAGTTCATATATTGAATATCTTTATACGCATTTATTTTAATCAATATTAGTTTAATAATAATAATTTAAACATAAAAAAAGCACACTTACCATGCATAGCATGTTTTTCATCACTCATTAATATTGATAATGCCCAAAAAGCATCCTGAATAAATGAAAGAATAATTAGTGCAATAATATATATTTAAAGTATTTTTACAAAATTACTTCTACCTCTTCATTCATATACATCAATAAAAGAGCTGCAATTTGACTCATTCCCTGACAGTATCCAATTTCCTGATAATTAAAAAATAAAAATATTTCAAATAAAATCATTTTTAACATTATAAAAAAAAAACAACTTTGTAAGTTAATAATTTAAAATAAAAAACAAAACACGAGATTTTTATTTATAACTGATTTGATACATTATTAAAACAATCTAATTTAAAAAGATCCACATAACAAAAATATTCAGCTTCATCATGAGAGGAGGACATTAGAAAAATATTTTGTACATTAATAACCATGTTCCAACATCAGATAATTCAGGAGTTGTCATTTCAATAAGATATACAGTATATATATTATCATTTTACTGTAGATAATGGATTTATATCATAAATTTCAAAAATATTATTTCTGATGGATCATTTATACTCTAATTCTATATAAAATATAAACTCTCTTTTCAAAAGTTTAATAATTTTAAAATAGCATGAGTTCAATATATACAATGATTGAATATATTTGTATGTAAATTGAAAACAAAATAATATTTAACAGTTCAAGTATTTCTTACAAATAAAACTTCTCATTACAAAACAGAACTTTCACACATTATTTTGTATTTAATTGAAAGTATTTAGACTATTGAATGTTGAAGCTCTAAAAATAAGTGTACAATTTCTTTTCTAGATGTCAGTTATGTATTCTGAATTTTAGTTTATGAACAACATTTATATAAATAAAATAACAATAACAAATTGCTTCTACACAGCTCAATCTAATTATTTTATTTGTTTTCATAGTGACAGACATTTTGAAAATAGCAAAAAATCAATTTCAAGCTTTACTCTTAAAGCATTTATATATTATTATATTAATTTGTTGAAGGAAGACATCTTTTTGATGAATTCTGATAAAATATTATATCAAATTAAGTTTAACAAGTGCTATTTGGTCTCCTTTCCTAATCTTCTTGACTGACATATGTGTGATCAGAGGGTCGACACTTCCTCAGTGCCCTGTCAGGAATGACACCACTGGATCTCGATTGACCTGGAAGCCGCAACAGCGGTTTGATTAGAAAGTAGGTCACAAGAGTGATCGCGTGAATGAGTGAATGGATTTGGGATGGAAACTGCGAGATAGCAAGTGTAAAGGGATGCACGCAGAGATTAAGTTACTTAACAATCATATAATATATACATTTTATACATGTTATATCGTTAATGATTTTGAATCAAGAAAAATGCTTCTAAATATGCCTGGGGTTGCACGAGAGAGAGTTACATGAGGTTCGTGTGGTAATAAATACCTTTTGTAGAGGATGTTCTCAGAGTGATGATTGATTTTGTTGAGATATCCATTGAGACCAATAGTCTGTTATTTTTCTGGAAGGGTTTGGAAAGTTCTGGATTGGGAAAATCGAGGTCAAGATGATCGGGAAAGTTTGTCCTCATCAGCATTGTTGGTTGAGGGTAAAATTGGGTTGGAAAATTGGGTTGGAAAATTGGGCACAACACAGAGGATTTTTTTTGGAGACTTAAATCCACAAGGAATGGGTGATGACTGACTCTTCGGCCGTCAATTTTGATATCAGTATGATATTGCCCGGCTAAAAGGTCAGCAGATCACGGGAATGCGTCACTTTCGTTGTCGGGAAAGTGTAAATGGAGATTTTCTCAGATAGCTGAGAACAACAATTGTTGAACCAAGTATGGAGTCATCGACGATTGATTTTTGTTAAAGTTCAGATTCTCATATATGGGTAGGATGGCTTTTCAGCAATAGAATTTAGTTTGATACATACACAGATCCAAATTAATAATGGTACAGGAGGCTGACATTTGTGAGGATGTTCAAACAGAAGTTTTATCTCACTGGGCAAGTTTCCTGGCTATTACTTGGTGAATTTGCACCAACATACACAGATATCCTCTTAATAAGGCTATCTACATTGTATCTAAATCAAGTTGCTTTGAAGGTAAGTGATCTTGTCAGTTCAAGTTAACACTTGTTTGGGAGTGTTATTTGTGTTTCAATGAATTAGCTACACACAAATATAAACATTTATAAACTCAATTGTTAGATTATAGCCAAATGATTGCTGGATTATATCCAGCTTTATTAATGATTAAATATTAAGTAATTTGGCTTAGAGGTAAGTGCTATATTTTGATAAATTTAATAATTATAATTAAATTAATACTTAATAATTAATTTAATTATGGACTTTAATCTAGCTACCCACAATGGACATTTTCTCTTGTGGGTGGCAAAACGTAAGAATTGTCATTTACATAAATGATGATTTATTGGCCAAGCAAGGAGTTTCATACTTCTTTGTAGAATACAACAAGCTCTTAGCTCTTTGTATTTCTTTCAACAACTTTTTCAAGAGCTGTCAAAGACTAGACTATTCTCTATCATTTAAAACAGTGGAGATTAACTCCTGGTTTAAATCACTTTTGCTTACTCTGCTTTAAACCAGGAGCTTGCTCTCTATGTATACTAAGAATATTTTTAGTTTTTAACAAGAATCATATTCACGTCTTGGTTGACATTGTGACTAGGTTTGATCCCTTTTGCAAACATTTTTGCCAACCGAAAATTTCCTCCTTAACCTTTTGCTGCTTTTGCAAACAAGGCAAAAAAGTTGAGGAGACTCCTCTGCATTTCATTGTGAATATGCTGACCTATACACAAGAAGACTTGCTTATCTGGATCCTTATTTTTTTTTTAATTTTGAGACTTGCCAATGCTCCCCCAGCTTTCCTTTAGAGGACTGTTACCTGTTTTTAGAGAGATCAAACTTCTGAAGTAATCTCTTGTAAGATGCAATGCACTTTTTAGACCAAAGTAATTCTGACTTTGCTCCCTTATTCAATCTACAATGTTATTAATTTGTTTAAGTAATTTTAAATCTCAAAGAAAACACAGTTGAACCTATCTAGCTTGAATCTCACGGGAATGAGAAAAAAATCTGAGATAAACAATTTTCAAGATATAGCAGTTCAAATACAGTAAGCAGTAATAAGTTTGATTCAAGGTACAGTATTTTATTAATATATTGGGTTGTTCAGAAAGTAATTTCATTTTTTTTATGTGGAAAAAAAACAATATTTTTTATAAATAAATATTTTATTGAATTAGATATTGACCATTTTGGTCAAATATCTGTTGTCATCATTTCTGGTAGTAGCATGATTTCACATTCATAAAAGTTTTGATTGTTGCTTACGAAAAACTGATCCAAGTGATTTTTGACATTGTCATTTCAAGTAAATGTCTTACAGTTAAAAAAATTTGTATAGACTGGAACAAATAATAATCTGAGTGTGCTCGATCTGGCAAATATGGTTGGTGTGATAGCATGTCCCATCTAAGTTATAACAGTTTCAGATGCGTTACCAAACTTGTGTAAAATTTGACATTATCGTGGTAAAGCACTACACCTGTTTTGTTGATCAATTCTGGCCGCCTTTTCAGTTTAATGATATTACTCAATTTGTTTACTTAATGGCAGTACACTTTTGAATCAATTGTTAAATTGTCTGGTAAAAGCTCCAAAAAAAATTTCCTTAATATCCCACCAAAAAGAGCATCTCTCTTTAAGAACATGTGGAACTCATATATCAAGCTTTGAAACAAAACCAATTTGTTTCAAGTAATCATAAACAGTTCAATTTGACAAATTTAATCTCTTAGTGCAGTGTTTTTCAACCTGTGGGTTGCGACCCCCAGGGGGTCGCAAAGCCTTACACGGGGGTTTGCGGGTAAAAGAAAAAGACAAGTGTTTGTAGGTCCTACACTACAATAAATAAAACTACAATTTCAGTGAGAAGGCTTTGTGTTTTTATTTTAAAGTACAATTGGTTTTTCGATTAATATTTAGGTCTCAATAGAAAGAAAATTAAATACGTAGTTTTTAAAATCACTGATATAGTTTTAATATGGCCCTGGGGGGTTGCCAAAATTTTTTTAACTTGTAAAGGGGTCGTGTATTCAAGAAGGTTGAAAAACACTGTCTTAGAGATTTCACATGTTGTTATTCGGCAATTTGCTTCAATTAGTACCTTTATTTTGTTTTCATTGGCTTCAACTGGCCATCCAAAATGTGCTGCATCTTCAATATTGAAATTGCCAGAATGAAATTTTGTAAACCAGTTTTGGCACTGTCGTTCTGTCAATACATCTTCTCCATACACGTCACACAATTTTTTTTCTCATTTGAACAGCATTCTTACCTTTTCAGTAATAAAAGAGCAAAATATGTCAAAAATGCTGCTTTCGATCTTCCATATTTGATGGGACAAAATAAACAATTGCACAAAATCAAACAAAATTTTTTACAAATAAGCCTTAAAATGCTAGCTGGCAAAATATATAATGACAATACAGTTTAGAATGAAAATGGTGAGAAAAAAATACGACTAATCTGTCTAGTGGTAAAAAAACGAAATTACTTTCCGAACAACCCAATAATAGCATGTACAGTAGTACTTGTATTAGGTAAAAATAAAACGTTTTGATGACCGTTAGCAGAAATAGTTTGTCAATAATTCCTGATGCCTGACTTTTTTTGACTGGATAATTTTTTGAAGGTAATAAATAGCCACAAATCTTGACTAATATCTTCCTGACATTCAAGGAAAGTTCTCAACATTTCAACCGCCTTCTTTTGTGATAATAACTTTAGGTGAATCTATCTTATCCTCTAGTTCATCATAGTTGTCAGAAATTCCTCTCACATTTTCCATGATATCCATATCTGTCAACATTCCACATGTTGGTAACTTGTAGGAAATTGTCCACATCCAAAAACTCTTCAAATGAAATGTCTAAATTATTTATTCTTGACGATTATCCAATCTTCCAAATTTACTTCATTAGTTTCAATGTCTTTCACTGTGCCAATGGTGTTTTGTTGTTCCTCTTCCTTGCTGTTTCTTTGCTTAAACCCTGCTTTTAGAAAACTGTTCTTGATCATCATTTCTGTAACACTCCTCCAAGAATAGTCTATCATCCTCATAAAATGAAAAACATTGATAGTGGAAAGGGACCATCGTCAA